TGAGCATGGATGCTACTCTCTACATAGTGCTCATGCATCATGATATATCGACTACAGACTTTAAAGGGAGATTAGTGCTAAATATAACTGAACCTTTTTCTTTCATGGGAGTTTACATTCCCCAGTATATCTCAACTTCTTTAAAAAAAATGATAAATATATCTAACTAATACCATAATAAAGATAAGTATATTACAGGGCACTCGAAGTTTCTCAGGACCATCTACAGTACTCTGGATATTGTGAGACGGTAGAGAATTTTGTAATTTTTCTTTTTTGAAAATAAGAAAGTTTTGTAATTTTATTTTGCTGTTGTCTTTTGAACTTTTTATCTTTTTATTGAATAGACTTTTAACTCCAGTTCTTAAAAAAGCACAAAAACAGTGAAGTTTTAGTTTAATAAATCCATTCTACGAAAGGCAGTCTCAGACATAACATCCTAGACCATTCCATGTTAGGGTGATGTCAAGCAATGAGAAAATGCCTTTACTAACAAATGAAAAGAATGTTTGAGGGGAAAAAAAAAGGAAAAGGAGATAGCTTGAAAATCAAATAACTAAATACTTCCAACAGTACATAATTTGTTCAACTACTACAAATCACTATGGCTTTTCTCGACAAGGAGGTTAAAGGGGCAGTGTGGGCTCTCGATACTAACAAGGGTCCAGGCCCAAATGGTATTCCCATCGCATTCAATGCCTAAAAAGGATAGATGTAGTAGAATTTCTTAGTTTCACCCTCTCCATTCAGTTACTAGCATTTACAAGATTTTTACTGAAGTCCTATCCTTGAGATTTTGTGGGATGTTAAATGAGACAACGTCATCTAATCAAAGTGCTTCTATGGGGAGACGGGTAAATTCTTAGTGCTTTTTCATTGCCAATGGTTGTGGAGGACTAAAGGAAACCCAAGAGGAATTCTGACTTGGTTTTTAAGTTGCATTTCGAGAAGGCATGCGACAGAGTTCATTGGGTTTTTTTGGTTAAGGTGATGGCTAGAAAAGGTCTCAGCTCCAGGTCGAGGAAGTGGATAAATGGCTATCTTTATTTGGTGTCTTTTATAGTGATCATTAATGGCAAGCCTTAGTCTTGGTTTAGAGTGCTTATGAGAGTGAGACAGAGTGGTCCATTCTCAAAGTTCTTAGAAGTAACTAAGGGGTCCAAGAAAGGTGTCATTAAAGGTCTATGTGTAGCAGAAAAGAAGATTGAAGTTTCACATCTTCAGCACATTGATGACCCCATTCTCTTCCGTTTGGATGATGTGAAATTTGTAATATCATTCTCACTCATGCTGAAATCTTAGAGCAAGTCTTCAATCTTCGCATCAATGTTAAAAAGAAACAGCATAAAAAGGTATTAACATGGAGGTTATTATTGTTAGTGGTCTTGTGGAAGCTATTGGTTATATCGCGGCCCATCACTTAGTAAGATTTTCCATTGGGAGGGAACCCTAGACCAAATAACTTATGGATGAGGTTGTTAGTAGGGTCTCTAGGCGCCTAGATTGTTGGAAGGATAGTTTATTTTCATTGGGTGGTAATGTTACTATTGTATAGGCATGTCTCTCTAGTATCGTCATGTATTTCACATCCTTATTTAGAATTCTTAAAGAGGGTGGCTAAGAGAACTGAGACGATCATGAAGAACTTTTTGTGGTCAAGTAAGAGCGAGATTTTGAAAGATCATTAAGTGAGATGAGTTTTTGTTGTCTTCCTGAAAAGAGTGTGGTTTGTCATTAGGAATTTGGTTTCAGAAATATTTTTACTGGCTAAATGGCTTTGATCTTTTACGAAGAACCTTCTTCTCCTTAATGCAGGGCAATTAAAAGTATCCATGATATGCATAAGAATGGTTGGGACTCGAAAGCTAGGAATTCCACGACCCATAAAAGTTGGGGGATGATTCTTGAATTTTTATCTTGGAAGATATTTGAATAGGAGATTGCCCTTTGGCATTGTGTTATCTTCATCTCTATAACCTTTCCTAATACAATAATGCCCTGGTTAACAATTTCATCATTAAAGTTCCTCAGAGACATCATCTCCATGACATGCAGTCTTTCCACAATTTAAATGACCGAGAATCTACTGATATGTAATATTTGATTCATTTCCTTGGGTCTTGGTTCCTTCCATCTTAATCTGGCAATAGAGTGTGGACACTTGATCCTTCAAGTTCCTATAAATGTAATTCCTTTTTCACCCACCTTATCCACAACCAAAATTATCAGCTTAATTTCCCTAATAGACTCTTCTAGAAGATTATATTCCTTATCCAGCAAAGGATTTTGCTTGAATGGCTGTCATAAATAAATTTAATTCTAATGATTTTGTTACAAGTTTCCAGGCCTAACTGTTTTCTCTCTCCTTATGTATATTTGATGTGCTTTGAGAAGAACAAATCTCGTTATCACCTTTTCCTTCACTATGAGGTGGCTTGCAAGCTTTGGACAAAGCTTTTTGACACTTTTGGCTTTAAATGTGTTTGCTCCTCTGCTATTTATTGTTACTTGATTTCTTATGCCAAAGGAGATGAAGTTAGGAAGAAGATGAGGATTCATTTTTAATTGAAAAGGAAACAGAAGGAGATGAGGATTTTATGAGAGGCATTGCTTTGCCACATTGCAGGTCTTATGGTTGGAGCATAATGCTTAGACTTTTAAGGACCCTGTATGCCTCCTCGATTCCTATGGGATAATCCGACTTTTTTGACTTTTCTATGGGCCAAGGCATATTAGTTTTTTGCATACATTTCGCTATCCACTCCACAAAGGAATTGGCAGGCAATGATGTACTGATTTCTTGTTTTGTTTTCTTCTTCATTTTTTTATGGAGGCTTTAATTGAGGATAACTTATCCTCCTCTTTGTATCACTTCTTTCTCTCTCTTTTTTTAAAAGAAAAAGTGTGTATCACTCCTTTCTCTTATTACTATATAATTTATTTTCCCCTACAAAAGTTGATAACTATTAGATTAAAAATAAATAAATAAATAACTGAAATAACTCTGACAGTACATATATTTGTGCTATCAATTCTTAATTATGAAATAATGCATTATTAATTACAATGAAAATGCGTGAATTAAGCATTGGAAGATGATATTTTCTTCTGCATGAAGGTGAGCATGCCAAGACTTGGAACCAAGTTCTAACCATGTATCACATAGAAGATAACAAGTTTGCAAAAAATAAACAACAGTATTGTAAATATTTATATATTACTTCGAAGAGAATGGAGCTTTTTTGCAAACTTCCGAAGGGTTTGAATCTTCTTCTCATGAGGAGCACACACTCCATTGTTTCCGAAGTTAACAGATAAGTCTAGATCGCTTTGTGGACTAAACATATCCATTAAAAAAGAGCCATACTCCTCCACAACTGGAGAATCATCAGAATTTCCTGAACAGTAAGCAACTAATCAAACCAAAATATTCAATTGAGAAAACACAATATAAAAGGAAATAGAACAGAAAGACTAAAAACTAAATTATCATATATTAAAGGCTATTTTAAACATATTTGGAACATAAGAATAGAGCCATATTATTAAGCTACCATATTTACTGAGCTGCCATATATTGGCTATAAAAATTGCAAAGTACCTTTTATATCAAAAAGATTGTGAGGTACCTTTACCCGATTATTAGCTCTTACTTACTGACTACCATAATTATTGGCTATAAATATAGCAAAGTGAGACACTTAATCAATAAGCATAGCAGATACTCGCACTTGCATTTTAGCAACATAAATTCGGGCTATCATAATGCTGCAGGTTTGATTTTCGACTCATGGCAAACCTCCAGATGTTGGGTAATATCTTTATTGAGCAGAAACATTAATTCTGATCCATTTTCTTGATTATAAATAGTCCGGCTGTCTTATTAACCTTGTTAAAATGCTTTTAAATTGTTTTCTCATGCAAATTTCAGTTTGTTGGTTCCTTCCTTAAAAGCCAAAGCTAGGAAAAAAGAAAGAACATAATAGATATTAATGTATTTCCTCTCCATAAACCCTAGAACATTTCTACTGAAACCCTAAAACTCCTAGTTTCTCCAAAACCTAGTGCCACCAGAAAACCAGTTCGACAAAAAAAATGTCCTAAAACAAGATTATGGTATCAGAAGTACAAAATAAAAAACTTATTATGAATCTTTGATGCATGAGAGAAGCAATACAGGAAAAACTAACTGTGAATGGTTTCCAGTCTCAAGAAACAAATATATCAATTTTAGTCATCACTGGGAAAGGAAGATACATTTTTCTCTTCTTTATATCTTCTTTAAGTTGTGTTCATTTTCCTACTGATGTATGCAAATTGGAGACCATAACATTGATGAGGTAAAAATAAAATGTTACCATATATTTCTTTTGCCATTGTATTGAGTATTCGAACCAAATCTCTCCTATTGATGTAATCAACTGGTTTTGGATAATGAACATGGTAAACATCATTAAGGATGAGATCAAGGTCAGGTAGATGAGTGAAACTAGTTTGATTCTTCTGAAAGGCTTGTGATTCAAATTTCTTTGCCTTCTTTCGCAGCACTGGAATCAAGGAAGAATATCTCATTACTGAGGAAACTTCAAATGCTTTTTAAATAACTACCACGTATATAAAACGAGAAGGAACGAAAGAGCACCAAATAACAAAGATCCAGAAGCAGTAAAAAGAAAACGTAAAACAGAAAAGTTCAGATTTAAGAAGATATAAATCCAAAGAAACCAGATGACAACATGACATACCTTTATCAGTCAATGTCATGGCTTCGGAATCTGCAATACTAAACAGCAGCTCAAATGCATAAAACTTCAGTCCCAACATAACAAAGCATAATCAAGTCAGAAATAGGACCCAGCTATCAAAAATAATATAAATGGATATACATTAATATTGATATACATCTAGATATGTACATAGAAACTCATCAGTTCAACCTTCTCTCCTTTCAATGTATTACGAGAAAAACACAACTCAGAGGCTCTCACCCCTATTTCCAGAAACAAAAATTAGAACCAAAAAGCTGCAAGCACTGTTACATAAGAAAAAGTATTTGGTTCATTAAACACAAGTATATGTGCGTTTTGTGTGTGCGTGTCTGGTAATGAAAGCAGAAGTTTTTTTTTTTAAATAAAAGTATGAAGTTGTATTGATGAAAACAGAAGTTTGAAATGCTTCGACTTTGATCAACGCATGGATAAAGCTATTGATCAAACTTCTTACTCCAGTAAGTTGTTTTCTTGAATATGTATTACTCACAAACCAAAGCCTAATGACTACAAACCAAATCGGACTAAAATTTATTTTTTCACCGAAAGAAATCAAGAGACCATTATATATTTCTGGTAAAAAATTTGAGTCAGACAGAAATGGGAAAATTTTATTTGCTTATGATAAGTTACTCAATATTCATTGACAATGAAAAAACAACAGCACTATACTACATTGCCTGCCAAAGCACAGCCACAACAGAGGTGAACTAAATATGGAAGTTTCACTTGTAATTCTTCTGCATACTGTACTTGATTCACACAAGATACATGCACATACTGAAACCAGCACCTTCTTGACTTTTTGTAAAGAACACAATTTGCAGCTCACCATGGTTGGACAAACAAAGTGTAAATAATGTTCTCTTCTATAAGAGTCCATCTGGACATTATCAGACCTTCAATATTTATCTGCAGTTCTAGAGACGTAACAAGCTAATAGAAAATCCAATAATGCCACAAATCACATCAACTAAATGCATATGGACGAAACATCTAAATAGCATTCCAAAGACTATATGCACAAAATGAATTTTTTTTTTAAAAAAAAGAAAGAAAGATAGAAATAGCTACGTCTTTTCTTGTTCCATATAGTTTTAAAATCCAGTAAATTTCGCTCCTCAAAAGAGACCAACAAACTCTTCAGTAATCCCAGAATACCACTCCTTTCCTCCCAACCAATATGAGCACTTCTAAACAATTTGTCATGTTGTGGTAATCCTGAATAACTTAACCCTCAAAATATCACTTCCAAATAGAACAAAATAACGAGTACAACTTCCATATCTACAATAACAAGACACAAAATCACAGGAACATACAACAGAACCAATATGCAATCATAAATTCACGGATTATACTGCTTAATGAGATAAAAAGAAGATGGATAATCAGAAGCTAGGTACCAGCACCAGAGAAAGTAACCAAATCAAGCATAATAGCAAATGATAATCAAATCAACATAACCTTCGGATTCAAGCCAAACAGCTCCTATACTAATTCCCGCGCCAAATTGAAAACAAAATCCGTAAAAACATATAAACAAGTCCTTTCAGAGAGTATTTGTTTCTATCTCGTAGAGATGGAAGCTTCTGACCTCCTCGTCGTCTTCGACGTCAAGCGAGAGGCACAAATTCCCGCTCGATGATAACAGGGTTGCTGAGCCAAGTAAAACCAAGCAAGTCCAAGAAGATCCAAACTGGACGATGAATTCCATTATGGATCGAGTTTAGCATTTTCGGGTCGGGCTGAGCGCGTGAGAATTTATTAGGGCCCAGTAACTTGAAACTCTTCGGGGTTCGTTGTATTATAAATTATATTTATTTTTTGAAGTTTTATATTTTTAAAAAATAAAGAAAAAGTAAAGTAATATTTTTAAAAGAAATAATAAAAAGCTTAATTTGTTGGCTAAAGTATATAAAGCTCAAGTCTCTGCTCTTACCAAAAATATAATAATATTTTTTTTCAATTTTTATTTTTTTTACCTATAAATTAAGACTTGAACTTATATCTTAATAGATATTTATTTTTTAAATATGTATATATAAATCTGCAATAATGTTCCACAAGTACAAGCTTCGAAAAGTTTTATTAGTATGTTTTCAAATAAATTTTCTCAAATATATAAACTCAATGAAGATATTTTTATTATATTATTAAATTATCTTTTCTACTTATGGATGACTCTGACAACTCGAAACTTAAAAAAAAATAAATTATAAATTGAATGTGAAAGCGAAATAACAAGTTAGAGTTTATATTTCTTATACAATAATTTAAAGTACCCAATAGGGATACAGGAATGACCCCTTTAAAAGAACAAACGAAAAATTAAAGAAATAAATAGAAGTAAACAACTGGATATTCTATTCGCAACCCTCTTATGAATCGGGATCTGAATGTTGGTTCTCTTGATTTGAAATTGTTAATGAAACAGCGAGCTACATTAGTCCAGTAAGAATGTCAAACTACTCACCCATACAGAAATAAATGTTGGTAGAAATCATTAAAACAACTAATAGAGCTCTAATTTTAAGTAAATTCATTTATCATAACTAAAATTGTTTACCGCATACTTACCGTAGTAAGATTTTTAAAACTAACTCGTAGAGGCAATAACACAACCAATATTATAATCTCATATTCAATTTGTCAGAACAACAATTTTCTCTTTTATCTGCCTACTAATATCCATGAGATTCCATAGAGATGTCCATAGTACGCGTGAATCATTATACAACATTGTCAACTACCCAATCGTCCCCATACCCCATTCGGTATGAGCACCAAAAGTATCATCCCTCAATACCTCGTCCGGTATGAGGGTGAAACGGGTCGTTTCCATACCCTGTTCGACATAAGCGCCAAAAATACAAATCTTTGATACCCCATTAAGTATAAGGATGAAACGAGTCGTCCTCATACCCGATCCGGTATGA